CGAAGCAGGCGGTCGCGGAGAGTCTGGCAGCGACTCATATATTGCATTGCCTTTTCCCCGGTCTTCATCTGTATTGTTGTCAGTTGTTGCATGAGTCTGCTTTGCGTCACGCTGTCGTTTGCTTGATAAAGGCACTTGAGATGATGCCATGCGAGTTCCGCGGAGTTCCCATAGCTCCGATATGTTCTGATGCTCTGCTGCTCTTGTGGTGACAGGTTCCGCAGGAGGACTGTATACGCCAGTAGCGACTGATACGTGAAGATCTCTTGTTCTTTTCCAGTGCCGTTGCTTGGGAATGGCAGGGACCCGTTGAAGTATCCCAGAAGATGCGCGGCCTCCATCAGCAGCTCGAACTCGAAGCTCCAGGTAAAGAAGTCGTGTCCGTTGAACGGTGAGGATGTTTGTAACTTGATGACGTGTGAGAATTGAGCCTGAAGACTGAGAATCTCGTTTGGTGTTTGTTGTGATGCAGCTGCTGTTGGTTGGGCGCGGGGCGGCATGAACTCGAACGTCCCCGGTGAAGAATGATAAGGCGCAAAGGTAGGTGCTTGGTTGTGTCGCCCGAAGGATGAGTTGTCGAGGCTCATCGGCGCTAATCCCATGTTTCCTCCATTGCTCTGTGTTGAATGCGCAGGTGTCCTTGTCTGCTGTTGCTGGTCGAAGTGTGACATGAAGCTGAAGAATCTCTCCATGAGATTCGGGTCCACACTTGAAGAGGGAGACGGAGTCACCATCTCTGGTACTCTTCCTGTTGTTTCTTGAGCAGTCCCGGTCTCTGTCTGCAATCCTGAGGTGTGCAGACCAGAGTTGCCGTGTTGAGTTTCTTGGCCGCTGGGTGAGCCCGTAGAGACTTTCTTGCCCTTGCTGTCCATGTCTTGTAATCAATGAAGTCGTTGAATTGAGTTGAGTTGCAGTTTGTTGATGGAGCGTAGTTGCTGGGAGTTTGGTCTCTGACCAGCTCTCATACCATGTTGGGCTGAGAAAAGCCCTTAGGATCTTTTGCAGAGACTAAGTCCCAGCTGTAGGGACTTGAGACTTGGAGTAGTGCAGCGGAAGTTGAGGCAGTTGAACCCTTGTACTAGTATGTGAGAACAAGTGATTGATTAAAGAAACAAGCATACAGCAATATATAGAAGATATGAAAGCAGTTGTAGAATACAGTTACAGGAACGGTTTATCGAGTCGCACAGCGACTCGATTGCCGCTTCGGTTACCATCCGTGATGTTGTAACGGTCAGTCGCAACCTCCAGTTGCGACCTTTCGAGTCCTTTCGTTTTCTTTGTCCGCCCCCTCGTGTAACCTCCGTTGACTCGCGTGCTCCCCTGTAATCTTCCTCGAGTACAGTGTTACACTTCAGAAACGCTTAAGTCCTTGAGATATTTCCAACAGGCGAGAACTATGAACGAGTGAATGACAAGGAAATGAAAGACAACACAAAATATAGGAAACCTAGGGCGATCATGGACGTACCGTAATCCCCCGTATATAACACCCGCCGGAATAGTCACTCCGTGGGTGGTTTATGCGGGGCAGAGCTTATGATAGGGTGCATTTAGGAGAGCACCCGCTTTTTTGACCTTGAATTTTACATAACACCCCCCACCTTGTTGCTAGTGTAATCGATACAATATTAAGAATTTAAGTACATCATGGACGATTCTATAACGGCTGCATTTACAGGCCTCAAATTCTAGTCAAGAGTTAGCTACTGAAGCTACATCTAAACACTACTGCAAGATCTAGAGGGGCTCAAGCCCAGTCAGAAATCAGTCTAATACCTACTCCTCATCATCTTCGTCGTCCTCGTCGCCAGCGTGCCACGCCTCCACGTCGTCATCGTCGGACGCTATGTCATCCCAGTCATAGTCGTCTGTCCAGTTGGAGGCCGCGAGCCCAGCAAGCACCTCTGCCGCTGGCGCCATCTCAGAGGAGTCATCACTGGTCGAAGATGTTTCTGCTGCCGACGTTGCTGCTGTTGCTGCTGCTGTCGAGGCCGTCGCTGTTGCTGCAATAGCTGCTGCTGCTGCCGTCAGACGCGCCTCCGCCATAACGGAGGACTCTGCTACCTCGGCTGAGCCGGATGCCGTCGATGCAGCTTGGGGCACGTCGCTGTCGTCGTCGTCGTCGTCATCTTCGGACAGCTCGTCTGCGGCGGGCTCGACGAAGTCTGCTTCGTAGAGTGGGTTTTTCTCGCCGCTCTCCTCCGTTTCCGCGTGCACATCATCCATCACTTCCACATCTGACTTGTCCTTCATATGGGCGAGGATGAGTTCATCCTCCGTCCCATTAATGTCGGTGGAGATGCCGCAGGTTTTGAAGGCGTTTCGGATGAGCTCAGCAGGGACGGCCTCCCATGCGGTTGCGACCCACTGTAGCACCACCTCCGCGGGGGGCTTCTTGAGGTTTCCTGGCGGGGGCGCAGAGAGATAAGGCGGTAGAGAAGGCAGTCTTTAAGAGTCGGAAAAACTTAATCGATAAAAAGAGCAAGCGTCTGAATGGCCATGAATACGACGGAGCACACGTAATGAAAGCAGCGCGGAACGCAGGCACAGAGCGGCATCGACCTCACCTGCGGGTGTTGTTGAATCGCAGCCAACCTCTTCAAACCAACCTGTGTAGGACCGCCTCACATGCGCCTTCACACAGCGGTTGATAGCCACATCGAGTGGCTGGACGATCGGCGTGCAGCCGCCAGGAATCACGGCCCTGGAGAGCTTGAAGAGGCGCATCGCGGCTGACACGCCCTCGGTCAGGTGCCCTTTGTAGCTGTCGAGGACGACGAGGGCTTTCGCCCGACCGCCACGCCTCGCAGGGATTCGCTTAAGGAACGGGACGAGCACTGCTGTGATCCAGTCCTTCACGTGCTCCTCGTCCATCCATCCTTTCGGCTGCGCACGGATGACGATGCCTGCACACAAAAAGACACAAGCATATCAGGCGGGGTCAAGAAAAAGAGGAAAACAACACGGATGGGACGGGGATTACGATAAACAGAGTCAATCAAACAACAAGATTCAACTCACCAGGGGGGACTCGGATATTGGGCACGGTCTTCCGCTTGAATATGACATACGGCTTCAGCTTCTGTCCAGCAGCAGTGACCGCCAGCATGACGGTCAGCCGTTCCTTCTCGTAGCCGGCGGTGCGCACGTGCACCGTCCTTGAGCCCCGGACCTCTAGCGTTGTCTCCTGCGGCATCTCCAGAAACAGAGGTGTTTGGTCGGCGTTGATTATCAAGTCGTCGGGGTAGCAGTTCAATTTCCGCATCTGACGCACAAACTCCCAAAACTTCTCCACTTTTGCCTCGCAATCTGCAAGCACAAAAAAATCAAGAACAAAAAACAGGTAGACAGGGAAGAACCCGCAAGAGTGAGAGTCAATTATGCAAGGAAAACGGCGTGGAAAGACTCGGAGCAAATGAAACTTACCGGATGTCAGGCGTTGTCCCATCTTGGTCTTCACACGCCTCGTCAAACCCCAGCGTGTGCGGAAACGGAAGGTCCATCGCGACGATGCTCGCCAATCGACTCCAGGGTGCCGCTTCTTCATGTACTTCCGACTCCACTTCTGCAGGCAGTTGATGGAGACTGCCAAGCCACGCGCGCGATGGGAGAGGAAGCGCTTGTACAGCTCGCGCTCCATGTCGGGAAACTTTGCCTTGCGCCCTGAGCCGACGAGACGACGCCTGCAGCCAGCAGCCGCCGCCAGTTTCACCTTGTTCTTCTTCCATTCGCGAATCTGACAGGGCTGGACATCCGCCATCCTTGCGAGCTTGCGGTTGGATAGATTAGGGTCGTCGTCAAGCTTGCGCAACCAGAAGAGCTTCTCGGCCGCCGTGCGTGAGACTCTTTTGCGCCTCGTCCTGCGATTTCTGGGGGAGGGAGGTGCGGCATCACGGTTAATGCGAGGCATGTTGGGACGACGCCTAGGCTGAGGGAAAGACGGAATAGCAACTCGAGGAAGTGTCGGCGGAGGCTCAGGCTCTCCGTCGGCAGCCTCCTCCCAGTACAAATCGTCCTCATCGTCTTGCCATGAGTTGTCCCATTCAGGCGGACGCCTGGGATTTGGCGACGAGGGAGCGGGAGGCGCGGGAGGTGCGGGAGGTGCAGGAGGTGCAGGTGGCGCAGGTGGAGCGGGAGGAGCAGGTGGTGCAGGTGGTGCCGGGGGAATCGACAAGAACGGACGGAGTAGGAACTGATTGCCGGAGAGAGGACGATGGGTGCGCAATACAGAGAGGCCGCTAAACGTACGCGCTGCCATGGCAGCACCTGCAAGGGAGATTGCTAGTCGAGGGACTAGTGCCCGAGCCTCTGTTAGAGAGCCCGGGCATCGTGACGGGTTTTGTGTCGAGAAACAAAAGCAGAACTGAAAAAGAACGCTGCGGTAAGAAAGGGATGAGCAAGAAACGTGGTTGGAACCCCAGCCCGGAGCGCGCACGGTCTTTCGCAAACCGGAAACACAATTGCATGCCAGGTTTGATATGCCAAGTTGGAAGGGCATATTCCCTCAAGTCTGCTGCGTTGGCAGCATCCACCGCACGGTCAGCCGTTCTTACCCTGCGCTGGCAGCCTGTGGCTGCATTTTTACCGCTGGCAGGCACGGCCGCCTGGGATTGGCCACGCCTGGTCGTGCTGATATCGAATTTGACACGTATGCAACTGCATTCATATCGCCAACATCGTCTGAACAAGAACCGGTAGCTGTATAAGCCTTAAAACACTCAAATTCAAATTGCATTTTACATAACACATGGGCAGTATATTTTTCCGGGCCACTGTTAAGACCCTGTCATATTTTTAGTGAATTTTAATATCCACCATAGGGTGTTATATACGGGGGATTACGGTAGGTTCAGAAGGTTCGATTAAATATCGAAGGGGCCCGAAGTGTCGAAGCGAGGTCCGGAAAGGCCCAGGAGGCTCTAACTGAAAGGTCTGGAACCCTATCGCCGGTACAGGACTGTTCGAGTCGTACGCCTTGTAGCAAGCCTCAGTAAGGAATCACTAATTCCTTACTGTCAACATCTCATCAATCACTCATTTTCGTACAATGTTATGATTCTCTCCTAATGCTTATCATGTCTCTATTACATCAACCCATACCATAGGCGTGTGTATGCGTGAGGCTGTCTGTATCTTGGTTAGCCAGAATATTCATGCTATATCCCAACCTCTGCAGTGTTCTCACCCAAGCACCAATGGTTGCACAAGTGCAAGCGCATATGGTACATGCCATATGGGCCGGGTAAACACATCATCCAAACCTGAGACTGGTTTGCTTGCCAGCTACTGGCAACTTTTGAAAGCAGAGCTAGACCCAAGACCCCAGCCTGGACCTTGGGAAGGTGATTGAATTCTGCTTTGCAGGAAACAACACCGACCACCATCCAGTGTAGATACGGACGAAGGCACTAGTCTCGACATATCCAAACCTGTGTCCTCGAGGAGCCCGAAGCAAGGCCAATAGGATATAGGAAAGGTAGAAAGGATCTTATGGGACTTGGGGAGGGAAAAAGGAGGGTGGATGGATGGCGTCAGCTGCACGAGTAAGGTCAGAGTCAGATACAGGTGATGTGGTGGCTGATCCGCGGCTGTTTCCCCCCTTCTCTCCCTGCTTCTCCCCACTCCTCCGCCTCACCCTCACCAGCACTGACAGAGTTGACCCTAGGCAGATAGGCAGGCAGGCCGGTACAATCATCAGAAGCAGCACGTGAAGGCACTCTGAGAGCACCATCAGCTACTGGCAGTCGACACTGTAGGCACCAGCAGCAGCAGCATGTAACGGCACACCGTGAGCACCATCAGCCACTGGCAGTAGGCCACCTCAAAGCTCTGCACCTGCCAGCAAATCCCCCTCCCAACGCCGCTGCTTAGACTGCACGAGCACCACGGCGTCTCTAATCCTCCCTCCCTTCCGTTCCCTCCGCTCGTTCCTCGCCCACGCTCCCTCCCCTGCCCGCCTCCCCAAATGGGCGTGTGATCATTTGCAGAGCAGAGGGCTGAGGGACCTCGCCTACTAATCACTGAGACGCTTCTGCTTTCGCTGCTTCCATGGCTTCCGCTCCTAGTCGAGCGCCCATACTGCAGTGTCTATTGCCATGACTGCGCGACTTCGCCAAAGTACTCCAGAAAATCCGAATTCATCATCTCATCATGATGCCGCACCGCCGCCGCTGGGCCTCGCGAACCTTCGCCGTTCATTTCGCCGTCCATTTCGCTGTCCATTTCCACGTCCTTTTCGCCATCGTTGCCGCTAGTTTCGCCACCGTCGCCGACGGGCCGCACTTGCTCGTCCCACCGCTGCTGCTGCTGCGACACACGGAGCAACTCCGAGTCAATGCTAGAAAAGATCGGCTCGGGAGACTTCGACAGCGCTGAGAGAGATTTCGGCACTGGCTGCAGCTGCCCCCAGCTGCGACTTCGCCTGTGCGACGGGTGGGACTGCTGCTGTGAATCCCGGCACTCCTCTCGTGCTGCGAACGGGACAACCGTCGCAGGCTCCGACGCTTCGCTGAATACCCGTCCCGCCGTTTCCGACTCCGAAACTCCCGTCGGGCTGCGGCCGCCAGTAGATCCCCGGGACCCCCCCCGCCACCGCGGCGGAGGAGGCGACTTCGGGGGAACCGCCGCGCCGGTGGCCGCAGCGGCGGCAGCGGCGAGTCCCGCAATTCCGCCGCGGTGGTTTCTGTCGCGCATCGCACGAGGCGGAGGGAAGCTCTCGGAAGCGACGAGCCGTGCCGCCACGTTATCTCCGGTTCGGTCGGCGGCTGTCCCGGGGGACGCGCAACCGTCCCGCTGACCGAAAACGGCGGCCGGAGCAGCAGTGCCGACGGAAGCCACGGCGGCAGATGGGGCGAGGTTCGAATCCCTGCCCCCGCGGCTGTTGAAAATGCGCGAGAGGGGCGTCGCGCTGCCGCGGAACGTGCGGAAGTCGGAGAGGGAAAGATTCCGCGCGTGAACGCGGACGATCCCGCGGTTTCTTCGCCGGTCCGGGGACTTCGCTTCTCCGCCGCCGGGCGCGCCGCATTCGTCGAAGCTAGCATCAGCCCAGAGCTGCTCCATGTCGATGGATGCGGTCGCTCTGTGGCGCACCACCGGCGCGAGCGGGCTGCGCACCGTCGTCAGCGCGGCGGGGCGCCAACTCGGCGGGCTTCCGCCGCCGCAGCGGCCGGGCGGGGAAAGAAGCGCGGAGGCGGGGCGGGAGGCGGAGGGGGAAGATGATCTCAAGGGTGACGGCGCGCGGTCGCCCCGCCTCCTTCCGGTGACGGCTTCGGCCCGTGCTTCCGCGAATTGGGGGGAAGTGGGGTAAAGTGACCTCCTGCTCTTGCTGGGACTTGTCCTGGGGCTAAGCCCGAGTGCCGCGCTGGTGCTCGAGATACTGCGCGCGCGGTCATGCGCGCGGGATCCGACTAGATCCTGACGTAGTCCGTCGGGGGAAGGATTTCGCGCGCAACGGGTGCGCAGACTCGGACTCCGAGAGGCCATTGGCCAGTCCAATGAACTGCTGGCACGGGGAACGTCGGATGGTGATAGAATCGGACTGCGAAGGTCCGGCGCAGTTTGCGGGGCCATCGGAAACGGTTTCGACCGACTATCGGGGTAGGTGAAGCCGGAACTGGTAGGCAAGATTACCACTGGTAGGGAACTGTTGAACTTCAGCTTGACGTTGAGAGCGGGGAACTTTCACCAGGAGGAGTTAACACTCGCACATCGCCGATCATCGTGAGCGAAAGCTGGGGGATCAGGCGGCAAATAGCGCGGAACCGTGAATATCGGGATTGCAACTACTACTTCAGTAGAAGATCGACAATTAGGAGCTCGGCCGAACAGACATGAGAGGGATGATGGGAGCAGGGCTGTCGATTGGTTTGGGACCAATACTTGAGTGGCTGAGGTCCCCCGAAAACAGCCCTGAAATTTCCGGAAAGCGACCAAACTGAGCCCTGAAGCGTACGGGCTGGGGTCCAAACCAGAACTTAAAATCAGGGCTGCGCCGGAGTCTGTACTTTGCTGGAAAGAAAAAAAAAACTTCGTAATCGTACATCAGGTTAGGCAAGATGCTGAGTGAGTGGGGAGTCCAGCCTATTTTAGCAGGAGAATTTGTGTGCCAAATGTGTTAGTAGTGCACATTTCTCAGTTATTCATAGGTGTCACGGACTGAGCCAGTTTCTGGGATGCGGGAGTGTGTGAGAGGGGCTTGTGACTCGCTTTGGAGACGGCAAAAAAAAAAACAAAAAACAAAACAAAACAAAACAAAACAAAACGGTGGAGATGGGGGAGGGGGAAGTGGGGGTGTGGGAGGAGGGGATGTTGAGTGGAGGCTTGTCGAATTCTCTGGGGGTGCGAGGGGGTTGGGAGGAATGTCTGTGGGTGTGGGGAACTTCATCAATTTTCCTCTGTTTGGTTGGGGTGTGGGAAGAATGTCTCTGGTTTGGAGGACTTAGAGAGGAATTTTCTGGCTGGGGGGATTCTCTGGGGGTGCGAGGGGTGTGGGAGGAATGTCTCTGGGTGTGAGGGACTTCAAGGATTTTTCTGAGTTCGGTTGGGATGTGGGAGGGATGTCTCTGGTTTGGAGGACTTCGCCAAATTATACTAGCCGAAGGGGAAGGTGGGGTGGTGTGGGTGGGCAAGGAAGGTATGCCTAGGTCAGGGTATGTCAAGACTCTGTTACGGAAAATCAGGGAAAGGCCTCAACTCCGCCTTGAACAAATCCGGGAAAGGGCCGAACGAAACCCTTAACCATCACGGGCTAGTCCCGAATCAAACCCGTAAAAGTCGGACCCTGACGGACGGCTTACCCGGAATGTTCAGGGCATTAAGGGCATTTGCCCTTGAATCGACAGGCCTGGATGGGAGGGACTACGGAATGGGACGAGTGAGGGGCACAAAGGCGTGAAATTGCGATTTTTGTAGGCCGAGCAGTTGAAACTTGAACCCTCTCCACAATGTGGCGTCCAAGTTACCGAAGCATAAACCTTTCAACCGTATTTACAGCAAGAAGCAACCACACTGTACCTCACAATGACGTAAGAAACTGATGGGTTGCCTTTTGACCCTCTCGTCTTACAATACACCGAGCTTGAGGCCGTGTAGGCGTTCTTATTCGACCAGGTTATCTTTGGGCTGGTTACGGTAATGTAACCAGTTTTCTATGTGTTTTGGTGATACACCTTCCGTGGCGGTTAGTTTTAAATATCATGCAGAAATCTGTACGCACTCACGGAATTCGCAATTTGAACAAGGATTCGAGATTATCGGGAATGAAGACAACAAACAGTATTATTCCAGGTGTCAAATGCACGCCAGGGTTTTGGCGGCCGAATCTGCTGCTTTGATTTCTTTGGCATTGGGCGAAAGCACATGAACACGACACGAGAAGCACGCGCACCCAAACAGAAGCAGTGTGAGTGAATCTCATCACTTGCCAATAGCCCACAAGACACCGTTGCCTGGTGGACAACAGGGCTGGTGCTAACTGGGCAACTACACTTCATGCCCAAAAGACTCCTGAATCCGCCTATTGTAAATACTCGACTCGACACTACGGGCTACTTCGTCTTGATTCCATAACAAGCCGCTTGTACCAGCAAATCTGTTCCGAGTAGTTTTTGGCCCTGCCTACTTTTTCGTAGGCCGGCATAGTAGAGGGAGTTTTAATTCCATCACGACCACTCGGGTCAGAGTACAGAATGAGCAAGCCACACGTCCCACCTGGCTGGTTCCCTCGGCTCGTTTACTTGACGAAGCCTCTTTGACACGAAGGGTAGCTCTTTGAAAAAACCGTGTAATAACGGGTAATCTTCCGTCGATACGGCCGCAACGGGTAATTCTGAGGCCCGATTCCGTGCCCTAAGGGAATTCCCAATGCCTGACCGAACCGCACCCATACGGGCGCTTTCGAAACGTGCTGTACAGTTCAGAAAATGTTTCACCAATCTCATTTTCGTTTTGCTTCTACAAAACTCATTGCCCCTCATTTCGGGGCTCAACAAAAGTATCCCTTGGTACCTCAAGAGCCTATATCGGTGAGATCATGAGTCTGGAAGCCTCCAGACCAGTTTATTGCGGGGTATTAAAAAAATTACAAACGACTCTTGGAATCAGCATCAAGATTTTGGTAGGACATGGATCAGGATTTTGAAATACAGTGGTAGTTTGGTGCGGGTTTGGTGTACAAGTGGCTGAGGTGTGGTGTCGGGATGAGAATTTGCTTTGGACGACTGTATTCCAGACAATATAATGCCTCAGGCCCCCACCCTAATTTACCTCCCCCACCCCACCCCACACCCCCAACCCCATTCCTTCCTAACCTCGCGGAATTCTGCTTATCGGCCAACATACATCAGTACTGGTCTCGACAGAATCCGAATGTGTGGGGTAGGAACACGGAATACTGTAATCAATAAAAGTAACTCCTGTTTTGATGTTCTGCCTTATTCCATCCATTGGAGGTGTGGAGATTTTCACCACATGATTCCAAGTGTGCGCATGCAATGGAAGGCAGTGGTGGTTGAAATGTCATGAAGCAAAACGCCGTTGGCGGCAACCAAACCAGAACTGTGGGTGGCGGGGTTCGATTCCGGTTGGATGCCAAACCAAACCAAACCTTTCTCAAAGTCATGAGTCATGACAGGACGAGCTTCAATGGCGAATGCGCCAAACAACAATCTCTGTCGTGTATGGCTAGGAATGCCGATTTTGTTTCCCAGAATGAAATTGTGAACATTGGCATGGGCATAGGGTGATCTGTCATGGACTGGCCTGCTAAAACAACGGATCACGCTTCTCTTCGAAAGATTACATGAACTCCCACTCTATAAAACAGACAACGAGGAAAAGAACAATGATGCAAGAGTTACCTTCTCACCCAACGCTAAGCCACATACTATGCGTGGTTCGCTGGTGAAGCATAGGCTGGTGCGCTGGGGTTATTGTCCTTGGATGCCCCAGACGCTGATGCTATGTATCTTCGCTTTCGTTGTGTCCAATAGGTCGTCGGTACATGTCTGAGTTGGCAAATCATGCAGGAACCATCAAAGCGCTCTAATGACTAGCTCGAGTAATGGGCTTCAGTTGCGCTGCTTCTGTCGGCGGTGGCTCCTTGACCGGTGCAGGAGCTGGAGCAGTCGAAAGATTAGCCAGTGGTTTCGGTATTACGACCGACTCTTCATTTGCTTGTGTCAATACTTCATGCATGACGGCTAACGCGCACGTTCTCTTTTCCTCTGGGGTCCTTCTTGAACCCCCGTGCAGAAATCACCGAGGCCCACGTCGCATGTGACCAAATGTCACAAGGGGACTGCATGAAGCGCTAGGCTGTCAGCAGCTTTTCGCGTCGAGCCCACACAGGCTATTTGTGCAACCAATTGCATTTGTGCAATCCACTGGGCACTCGACCGTTGACTTTCTTCGCCAGGTTTCGGGACTTATCTTTTTTGCACCCACTCAACAATCATGGGGGACCCCCCTCTGCTATTTTGCCATGGGATTTTGACTTTGATCTTCATTATTTCCAACTGCATCATGTCAAGAAATCCACTGGGGTCGCCCTAGAAGATCCTCGGAAAAGGCCACAAGCTGCTATGCCGGGGGGGCTATGGGCGCCTTGACCAGCTACTAAGTAACAAGCCCTTTTAATACAGTGGTTAGCCGCTGTGTTTCTGAGATGGTACCAGAGCCCTTAGTGTTAGAATAGGGAAGTCTAAGTTTAGCAAGGCATACAGGGAAGATGGTTTGGTGTTGTACTCTCTAATAGCATTTACTGTACCTATCTAGCCTATAACTATACATATAAGACATATGTACAAGTTGACACAAATTCTAGGATAGATAAGACGCAGTGATTAGCTAGAGACACACAACTCAGGGCAACACTACAAGTCCAACCTCTGCGGAAGGGGTCCGAAGACCAGTCTGCAAGAGTACTAACATAAGAGTAACCAGGGCGGCACTACTAGTCCAGCCTCTGAGACAAGAGCCACAAGGCTAATCAGCAAGTGTAAACACACAAGCAAATATAATATGGACTACACAAGTCAAGGTCCTAGCAAGTGAGAGGCTACTGGAACCACACCAAGCTGCAAACAGTGCCGCTGATGATCTTCAGGTGCAAGCGCCTCAGTAAAGATATCAGCTGTGTTGGCACCAAAGCTAAGTGTACTACGCGTACCTAGCCGCGCTGCTAAAGCTCACGCAGGAGGAAATACTGCAGTTGGATGTGCTACGCCATGCCCTCTAGTTGAGGCTCATGACACAGGAGGATCATGGCCCTGTTGACAGTGTACAAGACTAGGGTAAAGCTAGGTCGCTTACCTAAGTCAACGAGCAAGAACGTCAGCCAGCGGAGCTCCTGTGCCGCCATGGCACTAGCGTATATCACAGCCTCACAGCTGGACTGTGCAACAAACGACGAGCGGGTGGATCTTCACGAGATAACGTCTGCACCAAAGCTAAAGCAGTAGCCCTGAGAGGACCTGAGCATCTCAGCATCGTCCGCCTACGAAGTGTATGTGTGCCCTGTGAGAACCACTTGCCTACGTCCTCCCAGCACTAACCCCAAGCTTGATGTACTCGTCAGATATCGCAATACCGGTAGCCGACCACTGCTGAGGTCGGTGTTTGCTTGTCGCAACAAAGTGTGCGAGGATACTAAGAGGGTATGCGAGATCTGGACGAGTGCAAGTCATCAGGTACATGAGGCAGCCCACGGGCTCTGCATACTGACCACTAGGCTTAACCGGCTCGTCATGGGCGGGAGCCGAGAGCCTGTGATTGACTGGCAGAGGGGTGGGCCTTGAAC